TCATTTTTCTTATTGTTTCTGTTGCTTTTTTTTGTTGCCTTTTTTTTTTAGACTTGCTAGCTACTAAGTGTGCTGTGAAAAGTGATATTAACAAACATACAATATCACTTTTCAGAACAGACTTACTCAGCCCTGGCAAGCAAGCCCTGGGACAAATTAAGCCTTGGATGGGGAGGTAGGTACAGAGGCAGCGGGGGGCAGAGGTGATGGGGGTGGAGGATGAGCTTAGGGTCAGAGCCCATCACCATGCAGCCAGGGAATGGAGCCCAAAACCACACGCCCAGGGGACAGAGCCCGAAGCCCCATGGCTAAAGCCTGCCACCCGAGGGCTAAAGCCCGATCCCACTCTCCCTGGGAATGTGGGGAACTCATTGGCTTCCTGTTCCTCCAGCTTGTCTCTCTTCGGAGGGAGGCAGGTCCCAACCACTCCTGGTGGCCTCTGGGGAGGGGCCACTGCTTTGCGCCTGCCCTGCCCCCTCTCCCCCCAAATCACCGCCCAGGAGGCTGTGGCCGCAAGAAAAGCCCCTGGTGGCCGCATTTGAGAAACACTACGCTAGACCACACTGCTCCCCCAGAAACAGATTCTGTATTAAAACATTTATGCTCCTAACAAATCTGCAGGTGAAAGGCAAGGAGAAACACACTGCTCGAATGGGACATCAAACCTAGTAAATATATTTGCAATAGAGTGGTTTAATCTCAGCATCTACATTGTCTTACCCCAAGTAGAAAACTAATTTCCGCAGGTAATACATTTTATATTAAACATCCAACCTTACCTTCATTGGCGGAATACTTCATCAGGAGAATACGACTTGAACCCAAGGTAACAAATGCTCCTCCTAGCAGGAATGTGTACAAGGCTGACTTGGAGCACCATAGAGACGGGCTGCAGCACTTGGTCTCCATTCTGCTGTCTGGCTGTCAATGCCCTTTGGACAACAAAACGAAAATACCTTGTACACGTATTTTCAGACACTGATAACAGATATCTAAGCACACGATTTTATTGCTTTCTGGAGCCCTACCATAGTTTCATTCTATTGCTGCTTTGGAAAAATCTCTGAGCAGCAGCAAAAGAGATACACAACATGCACTGAATGCTCCAGTGGAAGACCCAAAAAAGCAATACTGGGAGAGGGATGTATTTGTACAATGCTGAATAACTACTGGGGTTAAACAAATGGCATAGCCTTGGTATCTATCTATTCTTTTATGACGTCTCACATTTTAAAAAACAATCTTGTTTCTACCGTTGGCAATTTGCTATGTCTCATGTGCTGAAACAGGATCTCATTCATTTCCATAGAGTCCAACGATAGTAGTCCAAACCCCTACACAAACCTCTCAGTCTTACTAAACAGCATAGATTAACACGATCAAGACTTATGTTTACTATAATTCAGTTACCTGAAGCACTGAAATTAGGAAACAAGAATGCAAACAGAAACCCGCTCCTATTTCTTATTGGTGCTGCTAAGACAAAGAGCAGGAGAAGCCCCAAACTTTGTTTCACTAAGGGCTGGTCTATACTACGAGATTAGGTCGAATTTAGCCACTTAAGGTCAATTTTATAAGCAATGCGGCTACACAACCAACCCCTTCCGTTGCCCTAAAGGGCTCTTAAAATCGACTGCTGTACTCCTCCCCGATGAGGGGAGTAGCGCTAAAATCAACCTTCTTGGGTCGAATTTGGGGTAGTGCAGACGCAGTGTTGTGCAATTAGACGGTATTGGCCTCCAGGAGCTATCCCAGAGTGCTCCAATGTGACCGCTCTGGATAGCACTTTGAACTCCGATGCGCTAGCCAGGTACACAGGAAAAGCCCTGGGAAAATTAGAATTTCATTTCCTGTTTGGTCAGCATGGCGAGCTCAGCAGCACAGGTGACCATGCAGTCCCCCCAGAATTGCAAACGAGCTCCAGCATGGAGCGAACGGGAGAC